TGACTTATGCATGGCGTCAATCCAGAAGGAGTATCTACTGTACATTCAATGTTTCCATGCGAGAATATTAAGCAACTCCATGATGAGAAGAAACAGCTTCTGCTCAAATGAGGAAACCAGAAATGGCATGCTGGGCTTTTTGAGGAGGACAACAGTTAAAGTGTGCCCTAATTTGGATGTTAATTATCTGAGCATGCTTACCAATGTAGAACTTATCGCATTCCTTACAAGCAAATCTGTAAAACTGTCTTTACAGGCTCCTATGAGCAGTTAGGAATTTCCAGTATTGCATCTGTTTTGTAATAGATCATAATCCCCATGTTGTCGAGTTATCCTTCATGGACACATAACATACGTATAGTAGAATTTGGTAGTATTGGCATTCGGTACCCTATCAAGGCCGATCGGAAGTTGAACATCAAAATAAACAATAGCTGCAGTTTTGAGGAACAAAACGGAAACGATTCAAGTCAAACCTTGTGAACTGTACTGAAACTGGTAAATGTTGTCGACAATAGCGCGATGAAAGCGAAGACTCAGTTCCGTCAAAACCACCTCCAAATTTCCACCATCAAGACAGTCACGGATCAGATCGATCTGTTTGTTCATGTATTTGCACACCATGGAGCAAGCCTAAAGTCGAAAATGATGCAAAGTTCTGCAGCACCCCTAGAAAAGCATACATGAGAACAAAGGGGAATCTCAGACACATTTTCCACCTCTGGTTTGAAGTCAGCTTTTTTCTGCTCACTGGAAAGTACTGACTTCACCTGAGCAATCATTGTGCTGAGCATTCTATAAATGGACTAAAAGTTAAATAGAGTTAAGCATACAACTACTAGTGTACTTATCGGTGCCCCGGCTAATCTTCTTTTCAATGCTTTGGAGGATCTTCTGTTTTTCAGCCAGTATCATTTTCTCTTGCGATTTATTTCTAAATTTATGAATGCCCAACTTAATAACAAGTATATCCGAAATTTCAACTGAAAGCAAAGGAAACATCAAGACAATATAAATACAAAATGCAATAATTGACTATTCAATAGGCATAATTTATTGGCATACATAACGTTACTCACAACCTTGCTTCAAAAGGTCAGTGGAACTATTTAATCATGCAAGAGATCATCGAAAAATGTTCCTAGCCATTAGGAAGAAAATAGCGTCATGGAAAATAATAGAATTACGCCAATTAACATACCACAGCAAGCGAGCTTATAACTTCATATTTCAGCATCAGCGCAAACGGGTTCTTGGTTTGGACCAGTCCAAAACAGTAAATTTCATAACTTAGTACAGTGGTACCTCGAGTCACGAACAACTCGACCCACGAACACAATTTCCGAACAAACTTTGACTCGACC